AATTGATATTATTGTTGAAGGGATGATGACGTGGTGTATAAAATGTTTCTTTTGTTAAGCTTTACAGTAAGCGAATAATTTGTTTCTTTTTTTGTATTCATAAGAATTAGTAAAATTTATACAGCAAAGAATTAAAAATTTTCATTTATGTAAGTGAGACAAATTACAATTACAAGGACACACAAATAACGAACGCTATGTTTGATTTTTGAAGGAATTGTACATTTAAAATGAAAATTACTACTTTATATGTTAGATTGATTCAATCGTATGTTTTTTTTTTTATTTTATTTTTTTTTTAATATCTTTAATAAGATTTTCTTAATAGATAAGATCATTCGATAGTTATTTTCCATATGTTTAGTAAATTTAATATATTGTTAATTAATACAAATGCTATATTTTTGCAATTGCGTATGATTTCGAAGTATTTCACTGATAAATTTAAATTTCAGTTATGTGAATAATTAGTAGTAACCGATGCTGAAATCACTAATAGAGTAAAACATTCACATTTGAAAAATTTGCATTTTATGTGATGCTCGTTATATGATATATTCACATATAGAATGTGAAAGTGCTCACAAATAGATCTTATCACTATCTTATCTTTTCTTTACTTTTTGGGTGGTCATAATCTGTAACAAACAATGACTTCGTTATGATTTTCGGGTTATAATTTTTTCTTTTTTTTTTTTTTTCTAGAATTTAGTCAAAAATAGTCGGTCATTCTTGTTATAAAATTCCGCTAAATTATAAATTATATTTGAGGTAATTCTCTGATCAAACTTTATCTTCTTCTATGTTTGCTAAAAAACGAAAATGTTAAAAAAAAAAAAAAAAAAAAAAGAAAACAATGATAACAGTGAAATATACTCCTAAGCATAATGGAAAGGATTTGCTATTATTAAAAATTAAATTTTGTTTGACTTATTTTTGAAAGATTTCAGTTTGATTTAAATTATGTAATTCTTTCTTATGCTTCTAGAAATTTTGAAAAATGAAAAATTTTCTTAGATTAATGGTAACTAACTTCTGTATGAATTTTTAGTTCTGTTAGCTATTTTCATATCCTTTGCAATAGTGATAATACGATGAATTATAGAATTTAGGTTAACTGGCCATAATTGTTATCCAATTTTGGTCTAATATTGTTATAAATTAGCCAAGAATGTATAATTTGTTAGATATAATCGTAATATCATATATTTTTCATATAAAATATCAAATATTGTTATACCATGTTGTTGATAGTATATTTGGACGAGAAAGAATGGAAGCAAGTTATTATTCCATTGGTTTAGTTTATTCATATTTATTAGGACAAGTAGATTATAATATATTTATGTCAAGTGTATCAACTAGTTTTTGCTTTTAGTAACTTATATAACATATACTTTTTTTTTTTTTTTTTTTCTTTTGATTCATAGTAACAATATTCTTTTTGATTTTTACTTTCTTTCATTTCTATTTCTTCATCTATTATCAAGAATTTAGATAAAAGAAAAGAAAAGAAAACAACTAATTGTCTCAATCTATAGGCCATTTTGGAGAAATATCTTAAAATTGAAAACGAATGATTCATTACTTTAACCTATTTCATTATTTCACGAATTGACATTTAACGAATTGTTAAAAGTTGAATACTTGAATGAAAAGACAATTTCGTTAGCTTAGTTAGTTTAAATCTTTGATGCTTAATTAATTTAGAATCTATTTTAATTCTTACTAGTTTCAGTTATTTTAGTTTTGTTTCGTTAGCTTAGTTCTTTCCAAGATTTTTTTACGCCAGGAAGTAATGGCCATATTGTTGTATTTGTAGCAATTGAAGAATTTGCAAACAAATAATTTGATTAAAATGATATTTATGATACTTATTCAAATCTTTCTAAGCGAGAGGAGGTACTTCTAGGAGTAGCTTAGAGAGAAAAGATTTATTTCAAGCAAATTTCTGGAGGAAATATCATCTATCGTTCGTATTTTCTAATCCTCTCTTTGCTTACTCATATTGTTATATGTTAAATAATCATTATTTAAATTTGCTTCTTTTTCAGTCATAAATCAAATTCAGAATGGTTAGCTAGCATTTATAATTGATGACTGATGTTCATTGTCTCTCATACATGTAATATAGTTGCAAGTTTGATTCATGATGATAAATTTTTATTTTTCTGTGACAGTTAGTTATTTAATTTTATTATTTCAGTGTTTTCTGTAACACAGTGTTTTTTTTTTTTTTCTATTAAATCCTAATGATATTTCATCCAGGTATTTCAAATTTTAAAATTCCTGAATTACTAAATTATGACAAGTAGATTTTTCACATTTGTCGCTTTTTTTTTTTCCCCATTAATTTTTAAATATTGGAAAGCTTTTCACACGCAAATGCAGTAATAACAATTTTAATAGATTGAAATCAATTTTTATACGCATAAATCCTCTATACGCAGTCATTAATGGCATAGCATATATATTGCTGATAATTCGTTTTGTAACACTGACCAAGTGATGTTTCTTTTAATAATTAAATTCTGTTAGATTACAGTTTCGTTCTTTCATTACATGTAAATGTTGTGAAGAAGAAAGAAGAGAAAGAAAAGTGTGAAAGTTTAAACAAATTTTGAAGTTTATCAAACTGCAAATGCTGTTGATGATTTGTTAAACTTCATCACAACAACAGCACGAATGTTTGATTTTACTATTTGATCGTTTCTGATTCTAATTTTATATATTTATCTTCACCTTTTGTTTGAAATTTCGAAAAATTTACAACCCGTTCGATCAGTTCTTTTTTCCTTTGTATCTATTTTATGGTATTAATTGTCGGTCTTTAAACTTCTTTGATAGAAGATGAATTAATTTAACTTATTGAAGAATTGAGAATAATTAAATATAAATGTAAAATTAGTTTTACATGAAAGAGAGAAAGAAAGAAAAAGAAAGAGAAAGAAATCTTAAATATTTAAATTGTTTTTATCATTCAAATGATTGATTAATTGGGAGGAATGGTGGTAGTTTACAAATGAGTCATTGGTATGCAATCTATTTACGATCAGTAGGATTTGTCGGTTTATCATTGAAAAAGTTGGTTGGTTGTTTATTTATTAAAAATATATAAATGATATATTCTATTTATTAATGAACATAATTGTATGACAACTTAATCTTTGATTTAGTATGAAATATTAAATTATTTGGATTCTTAGTTAAAAATGAATTAATTGTCAAAATGAGGATAGTAATTTAATTTGAAATCTTGATTATTATTTAAAATTTTTAACTAGCGAAATTATGATTCAATAGACTGCATGTATTGACTGTACAAATAGATGTAGTTTTTGAGACAAAAAAAAAACTGTTATTTCTGATTTGATTTATAAAATAGTGAAATGATAGGGATAGATAGGAACGGAGAAAAGTTTATATTGGTTACCAAAAAAAAAAATAATGGTCAAAATTTAACTGATATAGAGTTATTTGATTGATATATAGTATACAGAGTATTTGTTTTGTTTCATTTCCATCATTCTATTTCTCTTTTTTGCAAAAATATCAGTTTAAAAGAGAAAGATGTGCTTTGCCATATCAATGAGTTTTTGTATTTTTTTTTTTTTTTTTTTTTTCGAATTTTTGAGATTTAATTCATTCTGTGATTTCATCCATAACATGATTTGTTGATCGGTTCATTGATTGCTAGGGAAATCAGGAAATGAAAGAAATGAATGCAATGAAATGTGATATGTCTACTAATCGTTGTGAAATTATCGTTTTGAAAAGTTGACCAAGTATTAATTAGAATCATTTGATTGATCCTAATAGATGAGATCATTTTGCCAACATATTTGTGATAAGATTTAAAAAAAAAAAAAAATTAAGCTTTAATATGGTTATAGAAATTTGAATGGAAAGTATATTTTAATTATGAATATCTTGTATTTATGATCCATTTTAATCAAAAGTTAGTAATTCATTAGATTTTGGAAATTTTTAAGTGATTGAACAAGGAAAAAAAAAAGCATTTGTGAATAATTGTTTTATGACAAGAGAATTTGGTAACTAATTTATGCGATTAAAACTTTATGATAGGAAGCAGTTATACTTAAATTATAATTCATCATTTTGTATCCATAATAATTGTAACTGACTAAGATAAGTAAATAGGATAAGTTTTCAGATGATGTTTTCTAGAAAAAAAGAAAGAATAATATACTGCTAGCATTTATATTTCCAGCTGAAACTATTTGTTTTTGACTTTTCATAAGTTTTTTTTTTTTTTCACATGGCTCTTTATTTTGATTATCGAAGTAAAATTTCCGCTTATTTCATTTTCATCTTTTTTCGTTCAATCACTTATAAACTTTTATTCTGATTAATTCATTTGTCTAGCATCCAGATTCCATCATTGGATTATGGATGTTCTAAATTGCTAGCATAAGCTCAGGCTATCATATCATTACCTTGTTATGATCTTAAAATCTTAAACGTATGTAAAAATAGAGTGTAATATGCATTTAGAGTTGAGTTCATCTATTTATTGAATTTAAATTACTTTGATTTATGGTTCTATTTTCTTTAAATTAATAGAATTAGCAGGTTAAGTGCATGATGACAAATGATGAGCTGTCACTTCATTTATGACCTCATTTCATTTATCTATTCGAACACTATTCGTACTAATGATTATCGAACCGATAAAAGTCATTAGTGATTATTTTTATCTTTAAGATATTACTGATAATAATGAATTAATATTTGGAAGCTTTATTAATAAATTGATTAGTTTTTTACTTAGACATGTACATTCCGAATTAAACTTTCTGAGCTATTATTGGTTGTTGCTGCTAAACTAATATGAATGATACTAGTTGATTTGTGAATTATTAAAGCAAGAGAATTTTTGTTGTTTGTAATTTTAGAACTGATTGCAGAAGCAATGTTCAAACTATCGATTGGTTTATTTTAATGCACAAATGATTTTAGTTGGTGTCATTTGTAGAAAAATGCTACTTAATGTGCGGTTATTATCATCAGGATTTTATGTGTTATTTGGTATTATTATCGGTTTTTCACTATCACTTTTATCTCTATCGGGTGAATGCTCAATTTTATCTTCTCCTTATGTCAACATTAATGCAAAAGTGATTAACAGTCAACTGAATTTAACATAATCCTCTTTTAATAACATTGGAATTATCTATTGCCAAACATACAAAAATTAATCTGTTTTCTTTCAAACAGAATTTATTTTCTATCAAATTATTAGCCTAAAAACAACGAATAAAATAAATTTTTAGGAATTAAGAAATAACAATTGTAATTTTCAGTGTTTTTATCGCAATATTTTTATCACTTGAAATTTTTATTGCTATTAGAAATTTTATTTGTTCTTAAAAAAGTGTCATTTATGTATTTTATTTTGTATCAATATATTCATTGTCTTTAAAAGTCAAAATTTTTATTTGACCAAAAAACGATTATTTTAGGTTATTTTTAATTAGAAGTATATGAAATTGATAAAAAAGAAAAAAAAAACAAAACAAAACAAAACATTACTAATTTTTACTTAATACTTATTTCATTCTTTTGTTAGGTAATTATACTGTTACTTCACCGATAGCTCAGCTAGCAGCTAAGCAAAATCCTCAACGGATTTCTGGGCATTTTGATGATGCTCACGAGGAATGGGAAGTTGATGATAGGAGTGCACCAACTGCTCCATTATATTTTCATGGGAATGGTACCAGTCTACATAATGGTACTTACTTATTCTTTTAAATTATAATTTATCTTCCCTAAAAATTTTTCTAAAAAAAAAATCCCTTAAAAAAAAGCTTAGTTTAAGTTATGTTGCCAATTTAATAGTTTTTTTAATTTTATAATCTTTTATGATTATTTAAAGAATTTTTTTTTTTTTTTTCGAAATGTTCATTATTTATAGATGATGATTCTGTGGCAAAATTATTGGAATCAAAAGTACGAATATTCTGTTGGATACTAACAGGAAAGCAAAATCATGAGAAAAGAGCGAAACACGTGAAAGCGACGTGGAGTCGACGTTGTTCAAAGTAAGTTTGACCTGTGATTGTGTTAATCTTACATCTAATAAAGTAATAGTTGAAAAAGTTTGGTGAAATTATCATTTTATTCATATGCTTATTTCATTAGTAAATTTGAATATTTTCCCAAAAAGTTTGTAGTTTTACCTTTTGGGTCTATAACGGAAGAGAAAGACAGATTTAGTTTTGAAAAGAAAATGCTTTGAAAGGTGATTTGAAAAATGTTTATTTTATTTCATTTATTTAAAAAAAAAAAAGAAAATGAAATAATAGTTTATTGCTCCGTACTGATTGATAAATAATAGAATCTGAAAGATGTAGATGATGTTAGTGGCTTATCTCTTCCTTTCCAATTATTTCACATATCATTTACTGTTAAATGTCTAAATTTGTTATTTCAAAGTTTATTTCTATGAAAGTATAATTTTTAATATCGCTCCAAAATTATTTTAATTCTGAACTACAAATATTTCTAATGATAGGTACATATTTATGTCTTCCGAAGCAGATCCATCTTTACCGTCCATAAATTTGAATATCTCAGAAGGTCGTGATCATTTATGGGCAAAAACGAAAGCAGCATTTAAATATTTGCATGATTTTTATCTTAATGATTATGATTGGTTTTTGAAAGCGGATGATGATACTTATGTTATCGTAGAAAATTTGAGGTTTCTTTTTAATATTTTTATTCATTTTTGGAAATTTCATTTTTTTAAGCAATTTTTTGATATTATGAAGCATTTTTTGAATTCCATTTTTATTTGTTATTTTTTAACGTTAAATAATGCATTTTTATTTCCATTCATATCTGGAGATTAAGGGAAATTTCGTGAAATATGCAAATAATAAATAAAAATAATGTGATTTTTTTTTTTTTTAATTTCAGGTTCATGTTGCTAGCACATGATCCAAGTGAACCAGTTTGGTTTGGTTGTAAATTTAAACCATTCACAAAACAGGGTTATATGAGTGGTGGAGCTGGTTATGTACTTTCCAGAACAGCTCTTAAAAAATTTGTCACTGAAGCACTTCCGGTAATTTAGCATATTTAATTGGATGATGTTGATTCCATTGGAAATGATAAGTAATTAATATATTATTCAAAAAAAAAAAAGTATCAAATTGACTGAAATTGTTAGTGCACTACTTTATAATTTAGTTGTTTACTGGGATCAACTATTTTTGTGGCTGTAGTTAAGTAATCAAAGATTTTGTTTTGACTTCCATTAAACATTTCGAGATGCTGCTATTTTCAAATGACTACTTTGAAACGAAATTAAGGATCCTAACAAGTGTAAGAAAAGTGAAAGTGGTGCAGAAGATGCAGAAATTGGAAAATGTTTGGAGAAAGTTGGCGTAAAAGCAGGTGATTCAAGAGATGCTGAAGGTCATCACAGGTTAATAATTATTATTATAAATGAAATGTTGATTTGATAATTTCATAGTAAATATTTATGCTTGATGACTCATAACGAGTCTTTTAATTGAAATATTGACAGGAAGTTATGCTATTATTCAGATTTCTTCCATTCGTACCAGCACATCATTTGATGCCAGGACATGTAGATAAAAAATTCTGGTTTTGGCAATATACATATTATCCTGTAGAACAGGTTTGTTTCTTTTTATTCTCTATTATTTACACCTTTTAATTGATCTTGCTCTTCTATTCTTCTTCACTTTTTGCTTAGTTTAGACCAAAGAAATAGCATTTCTTCTTTTTGAAAAGTAAAGCACCTAAAATACTACTTCTTGTTGTTTACTTTTTATTAAAAGATTTCATGTATTTGAATGAAAATTCCTTAATCTAATTTTCTTTGAATTAGTTTTAATATTTTCAAAAGAAGAAAAAAATCAGTTTTACATCCTTTAGAATATATAATTTGTAAATTATTTTTCAATATATTTTCTATAGGGTCCAGAATGTTGTAGTGATTATGCAATATCATTTCATTACGTAAATCCTTCACTGATGTACGTTTTGGAATATCTTATTTATCATCTACGACCTTTTGGTTAGTTCAATTATATAAAATTTCAATATTTTGCATATGAATAAAAAAATTAATTTGTTATTCATATAACTTTAATCTTATTCTCATAAAATTTAATAACCTATCAGGAATTGACATTTCTAAAGTAGGCGCTCACAAATGAAATCGTAATACTTAAGGCCTAAAAAGCTCTTAGAATCAAAACATAACTCATAATTTCAATGTATTTTGGACAATCATTTTGCTTTTACTATATAATTTGCACTTAATTACTTATTCAAAATTTCGAGAACGATGTGCACTTCTCTTCTAACATTTTATTACTATATCTAACCTTTGCCAAAAATTCTGATTAATTGTATACCATATTGTACATAGGTTTAAATCTGTTTAAATCTTCGAAGTGGTAATTTCCTAGTTTTGAAAATGTTTCATGATAAGTTTGCAGTGGTCAATCTTTTTATCATTTTCAATATTCGTCATCTTTCATTTATTAAGGTCAAGGTTAGAGATTTAAAATGAAATGATTTTTTCTTAATTTTTAGGCATCACAAAAAAAATGGATTCTCAAACAGTAGCAGCAGCATACCATTTGGCAGTAGAGAATATGGGTCCAGATGATGTGTTTAAAAAAGTATTTGCTACAAATAAATCTGTAATTTCGATTCCGCAAGATTCGAAAGTGCTACCAAAACCATCAGGAAAAGCGGAAATTATGATGGAGAAAAAAGCAAATAGGTGACAATTTTGCTAGCAAAATGAGGAGATAAAAAGCTTAGTGAAGATGATAATTACTCAAGAATGCATGTATATATTTGAGTTATTTAATCATCTGTTGTAAATTTGGAAGAATACTTATGAACAGTATTATAGTCTCTAATAAAATGCTAAATTACTAATTCATTTTAGAGAAAATATGGAATAATCTAAGGTAGAGTTTATGATCTTAGTACTTTTAGTTATATTTTCTCTCTCTCTCTCTCTCTTTTCTTATGTTTGATTAATTGAGAGAATGATTCGTTTATGATCTCTTTAATCCTTTTTCATTATTCAAATTTCCCATTACAGTGAAACAAATGAATAGACTATATGAATATAGTTTAATGATTTGTGTTTTTTTTTTCTTGTAGTAATGACATAAATTTAATATGTAATACTATTATTTGTTTTGTTTTAGATTTTTCAAATTAAAATAAGAATAGATTTTATATAATTGAGATGAATTTTACTTTGTTTATTTTTTTTTTTTTTTAGTGATACGGGTTTTTAATTTAATTGGTCATATTTCTTTTTTATAAATCAATTCTTTCCATTTTCTTTCTTGAATCACCTTTTTTTTTCATTTTTTTTTTTTCAATTCTTTATATCATAACTGAAGTGATTTTCGTATCTCATAATTATAATCACTGTTAATTTGAGTTCTTTTGTTGTAACAATTGTTTATTTTTTTTTTGTTTAAGATAATAAATTCTAATTTATCTTTTTATGACCATTTGATTTTTGCATCATGAATTATATAAAAATGGCAAAGATTAGCTATTATTATCATGAATTTTAATTGATATGATATTAACTTTATTAGCAATCTTTTCTTTGTAATCTGCTATTTTCGTCATCTTTATTTTTTATTATTTTCCATGAAATCAATCATTCCTTTCGCTTATTGTTTATTGTATGTTATTTTTACGATTGCTTGCCTATCATTTTTTCATTTTTTTTTCTTTTTTAAATTGTATATATTCATCTGTTATCCATTGCTTTAAGGATTGAACAGTTCTCCATTCTTGCCGCCTCCATGTGTTATGTTCTTTTTTTCTATTAAATTAGACTTTTTTTTTGTTTTTAATTCCATTGTATATTGAAATTGATAATATGAACTTTTTGAATTTATAATCTAAAATTACATTTAAAATTTAACATATTAGCGACTTTTTTTTTTAACACTGTAAAATAGAACAGAAAACGCATTTGCAATGAATTGATTTATACATTTCGAAGCAATGAGGATGAATTTTTTGTTTTTTTTTTTTAGCTTCTTACTAATTTATTTGATTTTTGTGTGTGTACTGAAATATTTTTTGTTTAACTTATCATACCTAAAATGATTATTATAAATGAGAGTAAAGATATGCAGGTGTTTATTCTAGTTGAACGATAATTAGATATATTTTTGTTTATAATTTTTAGGTGAATTCATTTCTTTTGAAATTTTTCGAAATATTTTTTCAAGTAGTGCAATAGAAATTGACGATGTCCATTTTTCATTTGTTTGATTTTGTTGTTGATATGGGAGGATAATAAATAACATTTAAAATTAATAATCGATGTTTTCTTAAATCATTTGGATGCATATTGCACAATTCTTTGTTGAAAAAAAAAAAAAAAAAAAAAAAAAAGCTTATCAACTTATCAATATCAAGTATTAAAATAGTTGATATTTATCATTTAAAGAATAAATGACGAAGCTTTTTTAAGATATTTTAAATATAATCGATTCTTTTTAGGATTAGTCTAGGCAGAAGATTGCTTTTATTTAAAAGAAAATGTAAGAGATATCTTGATAAACAGATTGAAATTTATTTTTTTTTAGACTTAAAATTTAGCGTTATCTCATCTAACATAAAATAATATAAAATTCAACGTTATCTAATCTACGTTTACGATTAAACATATCATAAAAATATCTAAAGTGGAAATATTTATAGATTTATAATAGATAGATGATATTTCAAGTGTTGAAAGTTTTATATGACACAGGTAGACACAGGTAACTATTAATTTAAACAGGTCATACTAATAAATGGTAGTGCGGAATTAACTACTGCATGTGCATGCATAAATTATACTTATGTTTCTTCTTGTATTGTATTTCACGTGGATTAAAACGTATTTGACGTTTTATATGTAGTATATAAATTAATATGCTAAAATTAGATTATATGAGTGACAAAATTAATCAGAGTTTGACAAAAAAAAATTAATCAAACTCAAAAATTAGTTTGTTTACAAATAGCTTATAGATATTATCTGTTGTCAAAATTTCAAAATTTCAATGGAAGAAGTAGCAGTAGGTAATTTTATTGGAATTGATATTGGAACGACAAGTGTTAAATGTTGCATTCTGGATATTAACAATCGGTTAAAGCTTCAATTTTTAATTTTTATTTTCAATATAAAAAAGAAAAAAAACTACCATTATAGATGACAAATATAAAATTGAATGTAAAACTTGATTTGTATTTAATTTCCATTTAATTCCATTTAGGTTATAAGTTATTAAAAATTTTGAATATTTTCATCAAATTAAACTATTTCATTTTTATAAACTGATACATAATTTTATAGTAAGTTGATCCCTTTCTCTTTTTTTTTTCTTATAATTGATTAGAGTTCAGAAATTCATGTTTCAAATTTTTTTTTTTTTAAATTTTAATCAATTACATCAATTTTTGTTCGAATTCATAAGCTAATTTTTATATCTTTTTTTTTTTTTTTTTCTTTTTTGATAGTTTTAAATTTAGGATACTTGTGGAAAAGTGTGTAACGCATAATGCATGGCTAAAACATGAATCAAATATGTATCGTGAACAGGATCCGGTTAAAATACTAAATGTTTTACATAATTTGATAAAATGTATGGAAATAAAATTATCATTGAATGTGACTGTTAGTGTAACAGGACAAATGCATGGTATTGTCTTTTGGAATGGTAATGATTTAGTAAAAGGTTAGCTTTATGAAGGAAAAGAAGAAGAAAGAGAAGGAGAAAAATGAGTTTAAAATTATGATAAATTTTATTATCGAAATGATAGACAAACTGAAATGCAATTTATATTAAAAGAAATTAGAAATAAAATTTTAGATAATGGTTAAATAATTTTAGGTAAATTTAATTGTTCACCATTGATAACATGGATGGATGAAAGAGTACCAAAAGAATTCCTCAATTCACTTCCCAGGTTTAATTATCATCAAAAAGATAAAAAAAAAAAAGGGAAAAAAAAACACTTTGCATGTTTTTTGTTAATTTAATTTTCAAATTAATTTTAATAAATGTACCTCCTCTTGTTTTTTTTTTTTCTTTATTAACTCATTTTTTGTTTAATCCCTCTCGAAGAAAACAAAAAAAGGTAACTGGATAAAGTTTATAAAAATTTTTTAATTAACATTATGAATTAATAATTTTAATTGATTTAACTTAACTTAATTTAACTTATTGTACAGATGGGATTGTGGTTATTTACATATTGGATTTGGTATGGTAACTCTTGCATGGTTACATTCATCTAATCAACTTAATACAGAATGGACCTGTTGTGGTACCATTATGGATTTGATTATTTGTTACCTTTGTCAATCATCTAAAGCATTTATTGGTATTCAAAATGCGTATAGTTGGGGCTACTGCTCTTATAGTGGACATTGGACTGTATCGGTCAACATTTTTCCTTTTCTCTTCCTCTTTCCTCCTTTCTAGTAAAATGTAGAAATTATAAAATGTTAACTGATATATAATTATTTCATAACATTCAACATTGTCACTTTAGTTTTGTTCAAAAATACTAAAAGTAATTATCATTAAGTATGTTAGATGAATTTTAAAAAATTGGAAAATAAAAATTTTTTATTCAATATTTTATACTGTTCTTGGGGTAAATAATTTTTGTGGATAAGCTTATATGATAAATTTCATCTAGGATAAGCTTATTTACTAATATTTTCATCATCATTTTCAAACTATCTGTTTATTTGGTGTTCTAGAATAATAGTAACCCTAGAATTTCTTATGATATTCCTTCTTTTTTTTATTAATATTTGATTTTTTTCCTTTTTTTATTAATATTTTAACTTATTCCTTTTTTAATTAATATTTTAACTTATATCGCAATTATGATATTACTTAAATTTTCATTGAGAAGAAACTATGTCAACTGTCAAATCAGTTAATGGGCTAAGGTTAAGGATCGAATTTTCAAGGAATGAATTTAAAAGGTATAATGCTTACTGCAGGATGAATTGGTACCAAAACACATACTACCAACAATTTGTTCAACAGAGGTAATTGTTGGCTTGGTAAAACGAGCTAATTTTGGTTTACCAATTGGTGCAAAACTTTTAGCATCCTGTGGTGATCTTCAAAGCACTGTTTATCCGTTATTAGAACCCGGAACAGCTGGTACTTGAATTTGTATTGATGTTATTAAAATTTGCAAAATCTGATATCATTCAAAGAAGAGAGAAATTCTCTTAGACAATTTTTTATTTATTTATAATGAAGCTTCTTTCAGCTTAGTTGCTAGTTTTTCCTTTGCTTTTTTTTCTTTTTTTTTAAAGTTTTAACTTTAAATTTGGACTTCTTGCATAGAATTTTAACTAGAAGTAATTTGAATTTTTTTTTTTTTAGTTAATAGCTTGAATTTAGGCACACTTTCAGCTCATTGTTTAATAAAATAATGCTTTAATTCAATCTCTCTAGGTGAATAACTTCAACATGTTTAATCAATTAGGAAGTAATTTTTCTATTTTGAGTTTGTGAAAAGCAAAATTCATTGTTACAGTTAAAAACTTCTGTTTTACAAGAGCAGAAGATTAAACTTTGGAATTTTGAGTGAAAACTAGAACTGTTTCATTATTTATTCAAATTTTTTAGTATTAAATTTGGGTACATCAGCACAACTCTGTTTTTTACCAACGATAAATCTTATCGCTTCCGCTCCGCTTCTTACTGTACCGTTCTTTGGTAACTGCGGAAAAAATAAGATAATCGTGGCCGCATCAATGAATGGCGGTAACGCAATTAATCTAATTGCAGAGGTAAGTGCTTTCTTTTTTCCATTTTATTGTACATGCTTCATTCAACAAATGATGATAAAAGAATTATCCAGAAAACTTGAAGTTGAGCTTTCCGGCATTTCATGATTAGTGCAAATTCTCTAAATTCTCAGTTCTGATATTTTGACAAGATGATATGTGATGGATGGTGCTGTTTTACAGAAAGTTGTTGAATGGGCCTCACAACTTATCTCAGATAGAAATGATCTACAGGTTGATTATCAAAAATTAAACGATATTTTAAATGAATGTAAAAATTGCTCATCGTCTACAGTTGATATTCAACCAGTATTTCTACCTGAACGTATAGACAATGTTTCATCATACATTTCCGGAATCAATTCAAGTACCACAATTGAAGAGGTATGTTTAATTTAGGTGGAATTATTAGGTGGAATTATGTCATAATTCATCTTATTTAGTTAAATTATTTTTAGCAAAATAGTTTAATTCTACACTTTAAATCAAAATCTACTGTTGAAATCTAAAATAGAATGTATTTCAAAGCGTTTCTTTTCAATAATTTTAAATTCATTAACTTCTCAAACATCCAAAGTAGATAATATTAAATCATTACTTCATGTTTTTGTAATATACGTTTACAAGTATGACAAACTTATAAACTATACTAGCTTTAACTATATATACTAAATTTTCATATACCTTATAAAATATCACCGTAACATCCATAAAAAGTTAAATTTTAGTAATTAGAAAAGTTTCATTTCAGATACTTCATCGTACAGCTTCTGGAATTGTCTCGAATTTATTTCGTCTTCTTTCACCTTATCAACTTCGAGAATGGGGCATTGAACGTATCATATTAGCTGGTAATGCGAGTAAAAATTATTTCATCGATGAAATCATTCAACAATGTCAGGGATTACTCGAGATTGTCGCTTCATCTAATGCATGTCCAAAATGCAGTGCAGCATACGGTGCTGCACTGCATGCATTACACTTCACAAATGCTAAATGAATGCAGTGCCTTTGAATATTTTTAAATTACAAACATTTAGCATTAGAATGTGGACAGTGGTCAAGGGCAGTGATCATATATCATTCATCTGTGATCTGTTTTTTTTTTTTTTTTTTTTTCATGAAATAATGATTAACGTTGAATAAATTTAATTTCATTCATATGATTGATTATTGGTTTCAGGTAATATTATGTAATTGATTATATAATTGACTAAAATGATTGAAACTTTAGCAATTTTACTACTATATATAATATAAGTTCATCTGATATCTGTTTTTCATTGAAACAGTTATTAATTTTTCAAAAAATTTAATTTATATACTATAAAAGAGCTAATTAATTTAGTTGAAATATTTAAGATAATCTAAAACAATTAAATTTGTTATGTAATAAAAAAAAAAGATTATTTTCTTTTTTCCTTTTTAATTTCAATTATATCATTGAATTTTCTAATTTCAAAAAAAAAAAGTCAATTTAAACATGCATTATCATTGATAACACTATTTAAGCATTAATTAAACATAAAAATTAATGATTGTGAAAAAAAGTGAAAAAGTTAGCAATAGAAAATTAATTTAAATGTAAACGGAAATATGTTTAGTCATTCAAAACAAAACAAAAAAAAAAATTAATTTTGATCAGGATAATTGAAATAACTGCAAAATATATTCATTAGAATAATCATTATCAATAAGTTTAACTTTATTTATGATCAAATCAATTCCAATGTTTCCGTCAGTAATAAGCAAAAATAAACTTTCTGTTAGCAATAAATTAAAAATAAACTCAAAAAAGTAAAATTTTTTTTTTCTTAATTTCATCAAAAGTAAATTTTATTTTTGTTTGAATACTATTCAAAAAAAATCGCAACTGTTATAGATATTAATTGGTTGAATGTAATTTTTATGCATAATTTTTATGCATTTATGCATTTTAATACAATTATTAATTAATATAGCTATTAATTAGAATTATATATTGGAATTATTATTTTAAATTTAATTATCATAGAGCTGTACTGCTTTAATTAATTTTTTTTTTATCTTTGAATTTTGTCATTTGTACTGGCAAAAATTGCTAACAATTTATTGCGCAAGCAAAATTAACATCAAAATCATTTAATTTTTCATCTCATTTCAATCATTCCATTCCATTAATCATTCGACAATCATTCAACTTTTAATTTGTATACCATTTATTTCTATCATTTTTGCCGAACAAATCAATGAATCAACATTTAATTGCATTTTAATTAACAAAAATTTTAATGTTTAACTGACTGCAAATAAATTCTGAGAAATATTTTAAATTATATTACTTTTAAAAATTCTAAATTTTCTAAAACTGTATGTGCAAAAATTTGTTTTGGCATTTCATTTTATCACATTCAATTTTAATTAATTCAAATACATAAAAATTTTGCCTTTATTTATATTTTTGTTTCTTTTTTTGGAAAAATTCGTAATACTAAATTATGATAATGAAGAAAAAGATGGAAATTTTTTGAATTCATTCTTATTTATTTCATTTTTTCATTCTTTTTTTTTTTTTTTTTTGATTTTTTTTTCTAATATTTTTAATCTTTTTGTGTCAAATTTCATTTAAAATCAGTTTTTTTTTTTCTTTTTTTAATTTAAATTTATTAATTTATTTGTGTTAATAAAAATTTTTGCTGAAATTAATGATAAATTGAGGATATACATTAAGAGTACTACTGTTTTTCTTTTTCATCTCATTTCTTTTTGACATATCTGAGCAATTAGGCCAATTTCAAAAAGCAATTAGTAGACTTCGTTTTTTTTTTTTTTTTTTTTTGGGTCGTTTACAAAATCTTTAGAGTGAATTAATATTTATTTATAGAAATACACAAAAACTTACTTACATATATACTTACTTATATGTTTGTAAGTAAACATTATGAATGAAAATTAGTGAAAAAAAAAAAAGAATTTAATTTAAATAGAATTAAATTTTATATTAATTAATATTGATGATATCATTTTCCTTTTGTTCTCCTTTTTTTTTTTTTTTTTTTCTTTTTTTGACTTTTCTTATTAATAGAAGTGTAATTGTTGCAAAAAATTTTGATTAAAATGATTGAAATTGATTTTAAACGGAAATTTCTTCCTGTTAACTGTTGCAAAAATGCGGAATTCCTGAATAGTGAAGAAAAAAAATCCTACAAAGTTGTTGATTTCATTAATTAATGTTTATTTGTCATAGGAAAAGCTTATTGAAGGTAGTTTTGAAATTTTAATCAAAAAGATATATGACTAAGTGCTCGTATTCAGTTGGATTAATTGATAACAATTAAAATAGTTTATTTATTTATTCAAGTTTATTAAATGTTAATTAATTAATGCTAATTAGCAAAATATTAATTTTTCACATAGAAGAAATAATTTAGTAATACTTTCATTTTATTTGTTTGTCAAACATAACTTTGCAATTAATAGTATAAAAAATTGATTTATAATGCAAAGTAAACTGGTACCCATTAATTTACCCGTAATTTACCCGCTCTAATAGTTGCGATTTTTATATTACAATGAGCTCTTGTATGTCACATTGAATTTATGAGAAAAATTGATGACTTTCTTTATCAAATTTTCTTTTTTCTTCCAAAATAAATTTCTTGATGAATACGAGAAAATAAAAAAAAAAAAAAAAAAAAGAAAAACATAATAACAATATTCTTAATTTGTATTTATTAATTTAACAATAATTAGTAATCAAAAAGTTTGAATTAAAATTAAGAAAGGAAAAAATGAGAGAGATAATAGATGATAGTAAATTCATTAAATTGTTTTTCTTAGAAACGAATGAATGATTTGATAACATTCATTTAACATTGCCCACAATAATATTTATTTGTTTGTAGTTAGAGAATTAATTACTCATTAATTGAAAGATTAATTTGAAATGGAATACCGAATGACAGGACAAAAGATAATTTTGAAGGAAATCAATGATTCATTACATAGTAATTGTAATGAAAAATATATCTTAGGCTCTTCAATAAAACATTAAAAATGAATTTAATTAATAAAAATGAAAAAAAAAATTAATTTATTAACAATAATTTAGATTGTATAAGTTTTATTATTCAAAGATTTGTTTATTTTATTGGAATTGTTCAATTTGAAAATATATTTTTAGCATTATGAAATTATAATCTGAATTATTTCAAGATATAAATTATTTTTATTATAAGTTATTCACTTATAAATTATTTTCCTTTAAAGTAAGTTAATTCTTTAAAAAAAAAAAACTATTTTCAATTGATTATTTTTATATTTAACATAAATATTTTAAAAGATATTTGATAATCAATTGTTTTTTTAAATATTTTTTTAACATATGCTAATAAATAGCGCAAATATCTTTAATCATTAAAGGAAAAATATTTAAAAATAAAAAAAAAAATTTCGTAAATAATTAACTTTTTAAAAGAACAATTAATAAATTATAAAGTTATGAAAAATTAAATATAATTAAAAAATTAAAATTTATCATTCAATTAAAGAAATTAGTCAAATGTCTTTTTTTATAAAAGTTTTTTTATGAAATTGATATCATTAAAATGACATTCAGTTTATAAGATTTTAATTTAATTTATTTATTTAAAGTATTTTTCTCACCATATTATTTTCCTTTCGTTATATACCACTTGAAAAAAAAATAAAAATAAAAACTTTGTTAAATTGATTTTTAAATATTAAACATAACAAATATTACAAGCATTATTATTTTCAATTATTATTATTGTCTCTCTTTTATACTATGCATTTTAGATGAGTGATAAAATATTGTAAAAATTGATAATTTTGATATCATATCACTTTTTTTTTCACTTTTCTTATACTATCATTTTTGTTTAAGACGAAAAAAAAAAAACTAAAAATTATTTTCATAATTATTAAAAAAAAAAAAAAAAAATTAATAAAGAAATAAAAATTTTGTTGTGATAAAATTAAATTTAATCAATCGAAAAATGATAAAATTTACGATAACTAAGAAATTATTATAATAAAAATCTTTTCCTTATCCTCTTTAATGCTTTCTAATCGCTTTATACAATCACATAATACTTAAACAAATTATTAAAATAACATAATTTTATTTTACCTCTCTCTCTTTCTCTCTCTCTCTCTCTTTCTCTCTATCTTTAGAGAGAGAGAGGGAGTGAGCAATGAGAAGATAAAATGGGAGGAGATGAATGAGTAAATTAGGGCAATAGTATAACTGAGCAATAGAGGAAAACTTTACGTTCCGTAAAACTTAAACGGTTGTCATGAATGGTTCATTGCTATTTACATTCATCGCTTTTATTATTACTATCATCGTAACAATTACTAATGGAAAAGAGCATTCTTACTTACGTAAGTGTAATTTACATAGTTACGTGAACATTTCAAGTAATCATTTTATTGTTATTGTTTACAAAAAAAGAAATTAAATGATATTTAACGATTGATCATGTGCTATTTTTAGTTTTTAAAATTAGATTAAAAGAGATTTGAAAGGTTTAATTTGATAAATTTTAAAAAGAATTAATTTTACTTCAATACGAAATGTTATTTTTGTATAGTATTAGTAATAATAATACTTATTAATTCTATTAATAATAATAAGTAATAATGATCTAAAATAGTATTGATAATAATTAATAATAAAAGAGTTTAAAAAAAAAAAAAAAAATTATATTTCTAAAAATTATTTAATTATATCAGAATCAAATACACATAATATTTATCATTTATCAAGAGCAGATAGATAAATAAATAAACGAATAAATAATTGATTGATTGATTGATTGATTTTTTCATATGAAATCTTTTAATGAATATTAATTAATATCAAGATTTTTTTTAAAATATAATTTAAAATACTGAATTGTTTGCACTAATTCAGTACTCAAATACAAATAAATTTTAAATGTTTCTATATTTTAAGAAAAATTTTTTTTAACAAATAAATGTAGTTCTAAAGTACTTTAACAATTCAATGAATGCAAAATTGTTGAAAGTAAATGATAATTAAATTAAGGTTAAGGATTTTTTTTTAAAAAAAAAAGGAAGAAAGGAATATTATTAATTTCATTGAAATATTGTTAATTTAAATAAATAACAATTAGCATTCAACAATTTGAGCTAAACTACAATTAATGCAAACAATTTTTTTTTTTTTAAACTTTTCTTAAATTTTTGCCTTTCTTTAAAAAACACTTTATTCAATTGAATATCGTTTAATCCGATTTGTCTATTTCACATTGTTGTAAATTCCATTCTTTCTTTTTTCTTTTTTTTTTTTTTTTTTCTTGAATGCTTTCTCAAAAATGGTTCTTTTACCTCCATGGTGACAAATTATGGGGTTGACAATTTTTTTTTTTTTTCTTTTTTCTTTTTTACGCATTATTTCGGACATCTTTTCAATTTTTCTCAAACAAAACTTCTTAGAGAAATTGCAATTTAAATTCTTTCTTTTTTTTTTTTTCATTTAAATAAAATCAATTACCCAAATTTTTTTCTTTTCTTTTCTTTTCTTCTCTCTTTTCCTTTTTTTTTCTTATTTCATATTTCTATCATTTATTGAGTGATAGAAATATTTTAAAATATTTAAATATATGGAATAATAAATAAGCATAGAAATAGTAATTAATTTACATTTCAAAATTAATGAATTTTATTTATAATTTAAATTTTATTTTTTCCTATATAAAAAAAATTTTTTTTTCTTAACAAATCACAGTTCAATTATCAATTTTAATTTTTATATAAGACAAAAGTAAATTGATGCATAGAATGAAATGAAATGAAATGAATTTAGTAATAGAAAAGAATGAATGTTGCAAGGACAATCGTAGATTATCACAAATGATAATGACCTAATGGAGAATTTATTTGTAACATTTGCGCTCTTTTGGAATTTTCATCAATGGAAAAATATAATAAATGAATAAATCATACTTGTTTACACATTCTCATATCATTGTTGACTAATTAATTGATAATTATCAGTAATTAAGTAATTGTATTTGTTTAAAATTCAACAAATTTACTTTAATAAATAATCGATGGAAACATTTATTTGTAATATAATGCGCTACTGCTAACTAAAATCAGTGAAAATAAATGAATAATTAGCAATTATAGTTAAATAAGAATTTTGTTAATGAATAATTAGCAATAATTAATTAAGCATATGTTTTTGATATTATTTAAATTTCAAAAATTTATGCTTAAATTTGAGAAAATTTCTTTCATTTATTGTAAAAAAATAACAAAAAAATAACAAAAAAAAAAAGATATGAATTAAGAAAAAGAAATAAATAAACAAAATAAGTAAGTTTATCTCAATGATTAAAAATGAGTGCTACTTATGAAATGAATTAATTTTTAATTAATGAATGAAATGAATTTATTATCATTCATGAAAATTCATCATCTTTCTTTCTTTATCCTAAGACTAGAACTAATCTGATAAAATATAGCTGATCGATTTTAAAAAATGTTTTATCAATGATTTTTTTAACAATTCACTTATCTCATCCTTCTTTCTAATCATAAAATCTTTCATTGCATAACTTATCACTTCTTATCACTTTGTCCTCTTTTCAATTGTTAATTACCAATATCAATGTTAGTAAGCTAATAACATTTGTAAATAAAAATCAGAACAATTCCACTTTTTAAAAAAAAAAAAATTTTTTTTTTACTTACATGTCAAATTGATAGAAAATAAAATTGTTTTTTAAAATGTTTGCACATTTTAAAAATAATTCTCTTCCATCAGATTATTTATTTAGTAAATTTAGATCACTTTTTAATTTTCAAATGAATTAATTTATTGTTTAATTATTTCACTGGCATTTTTTTGATATTGTTTGATTAATTGCAGTTCCAATTTAATAATTCGTTTAATTTTTTCAATTTAATTTCAGCCAAGCAAAAACAAAAACAAAATAAGACAATTAGTGATTGAAATTTGTTGATGACAATTTGATTTTATGTAAATTTAATTGATATTTTATAACCGACAGATAAGATAGTAAATCGTTATGGCAATATTTTAAAGTTATTTATTCAATTTTATAAAATTAATCTTTAATCAGGCTAATTTGTCTTCTAGCATAAGAACTAGGCTAATTTGTCTTCTAGGATAAGAACTAGGCTAATTTGTCTTCTAGCATAAAAACTAGGCTAATTTGTCGCATCAATTAGACCGTCACATTGTTTGCTATTATTGTGATATTTTCTTTATATCATAGCTACAAAATATATTTTAAATTCTTTTTATAATTTATATGTTATGCAAAATAATATATTAAATATTTCTGAATGTTTGTAATATTTTTATTTAATTTGCTAAATTTGATAATTTAAACTTTTATAAATTTATGCTTAATTTATGGTTTTTTTAAACTTTCATAAATTTATGCTTTTTATTAATATTATTATTATTACTATTTAACTATTTGCTATTTTATAATTATTATTATTTTTTTTTTAAATCACTCATCCATTTATGTTTAATAACTCAAATTTTTGTTGCTTCTTTAAATTAACATTTTTGTCTAATTTTCTAAATTTAATAATCTTAAACTTTTATAAATTTATGCTTAATAAAAAATAGTAAATGAATAAAAATTAGTCATAAGCGAATCATAAAAAAGTTCACTGCCTGGTGTTTATTTTTTTAAAAAAAAATTTTCAACTAAAAAGTGAAATGTATTTGCCATTTCACTTACTGTCATTTTATGCTTACATTTTTTTTATAGAAAACAGACATTTCACAAAGTTCGTATTTTAGTTAAAAGAGAAATTTTATTTCGTTTATAATTAATTTTTATTTGTTTATTTATTATTATTAAAATCTAAATATCGCTTATTATTATTATTATTACTATTTAACTATTTGCTGTTTTATAATTATTATTATTACTATTAATTTAAAATTGAATATACTTGTTGTAGTAGTGAAATAAGAGAGGGTCAAGAGAGAAAATAAACAGATGAGTGATTTAAACAAAAAAAAAAAAGGGGGGGGGGGGTGGGTAGATTGATACTAGTTATATGTTACTCGATAAATAAATATTTCATCGAATCATCATCAATCTTTTGACACTATGAGAAATGACCAGGTCAACTACCTTATTTAGATGTCACGCGAAATGATAAATAACCAACCTGTTGTGTATATAATTTTAATATATACAATTCAACTTAGTTAAATGATAATAATAAACTAATAATATTGATAATTACAATAATAATAATAAACAAATAAATCAATTAATTGATTTGAATGAAATTAAAATTATTTAATTAAAAAATTTGTTTATTGTGAATGAAAGAGAAAAGAAATGAAAAAGATTTTATCATTCATTCACTATTGTCTCACATTTTAAAATGAAAAATAAATATTTTTGCAAACTGATTTTATCACTTATTTTCTGTTATAAAAATAAAAGTCTTTTATATATATATAAAAATGTAATATCTTTTATAAAATTTCATAAAAGACGAAAGTTTTTTTCATAAAATTGCTTCAAATTCAATAGATTTCAAAGATAAAGTTTATAATTAAAATAGAATACTTAAAATTGTTATATTATTAGTTTTGTAAATATTAAATTACTATTTTATTCGATTTAGTGAAACAAATTAAATCCTTATTTTAATTATAATTTTTTGCAAAATTATACACTTTTATTGAATTAATCAAATATGGAGCAATTTTAAACTTCTATTATTTGTATATATATTTTTCAAAAAAAAAATTTTTTTTTTCAAAAATTCTTTGCAAAAAAAAAAAACCAAAAAATACTTAAAATTTCTTAAATTATTTTTTAATTTTTCCATTAATTATATATATATTTTTTTAAAGTTTTCTTTTTCTTCAAAAATTCTTTGGCAAAAAAAAAGAAAAAAAAAAAAAAACAACAAAGGAATATTTAAAAATTTTTAAATTATCTTTTAATTTTTCCATTAATTATATATAATTTTCAAAGTTTTCTTTTTCTTCTAAGACTTGAAATTTGTTAAATTGTAAAATTTTTTAATTTAAAATTAAACTGATTTAATTTTAATTAAAAAAATGATTTTTTTCTTTCTTTTTTTTTTTATAGATCATTATCGATATAAACGTCAATTCGATACGTCAAATACACCACAAATTGATTTGAATATTACTGTACCATATGTGTTCAGTGCAAGATTATATCCATTTGGTGAAAGTAAAGGTGATCAAATTCTTGTTGGATCATCACAAATTATTAAATTAAATCGATCATTTAAATTTCTTGGCAAAGAATACGATGCTGTTAATGTAAATTTTCTATTTTTATTTTTGATTTTTTTTTTTTTTTTTTTTTTTTAGCAAATAATTTTTATTATTAAATAAAAAGTTTATTTTATAGCTTAGTTAACATATTATATCAATCATTAAATTTAAATTTTATAAACGGTTTGTAAATTATTCAATATGTTTAATCAAAAAATTATTCATATTTTAAGTTAATTAATATTTATTACATTATGCATTAAAACAAATTTTATAAATATTTTGTAAATAATTCAATCATATTTTAAGTTAAATAATATTTATTACATTGTGCATTAAAACAAATTTTATAAATATTTTATAAATAATTCGATATATATATATTTGATCAAAAAAAAAAAATTATTCATATCTGAATTAACTTATAGCAATCATTGAATTAAATTTTATAAATATTTTGCAAATAATTCGATATTTCAATAAAAAAAAAAAATTATTCATATCTAAATTAATTTGTTATATTAAATATTAATCAAAAAAAAATTGTTTAATCAAAAAATTATTCATATTTTACTAAATTTTAAAAAAAAAACTAAATTTTACAAATATTTCTTAAATAAATTAATATGTATGATCAGTTTTACCATTATTTTTTTGTTAGTTATATTTTAGAATTATTATAAATAAGTAATAGTAAATTATGCTTAGTTATTTCTTCATTAAAATATAGATTCGACGTGATGGCGCAATTGGTTTATCAGCGGTACCAATGAAACCATCGAAGATACCATCACCGCAACCTGTTATAGCAATTTATTGGATGGCAGCACAAGGTGGAAAAGTACATTACAGAGAATCCAATGGTTAATTCTAATTTTGTTTAATATTACTTAATTTCTAAATCTTTTAAGTTTTCTTTTTTGAATTAATAAATTTTTATCATAAAATGAAAAAGTGAGAAAATATAACACAAAATTAGCTAAGTTAAAGTTACTAATTAAAAAGCTATTTCAAATATTAATTAAAAGAAATATTTTGCAAATCAAATATATTAAATTTAATTTAAATTATCCACTATGCTAATCATTCCTTCCATTCATAAAATTCTCGAAAGTTTTTTTTTTTTTTTTTGTTTTCGATTTTATCTAGAATAATCTACAAAATTTTACAATTTAAAAAAAAATAATAATATCCCAGATTTATATACATATTTGATTTGTATGGAGAGTGAGATGATGAAAATTTAAAATTAAAAAATGAGACAAAGATGACATTTGTTTAATTTTAAATAAAAACTCAGCGATTATTTTTCCATTTGATTTATTGATGAAAATATAATCCATTTGTTGAAGAAATTGAAAAAAAAAAAAACGAATCTTGTAAATTTTTGATAAATATTTTGATAAAAATGGTTTTTCAATAAGTTCTAAAAATTTTTGATTTCTAACAAAATCTAAAAAATTTTTATAAATTGATAAATTTTGTGCAAAAAAACGAAAAAGACACTGTTATAGTGATAAGAGATTTATCAGTAATTTATAATTTAAAATAAAATGATTTTTGCATGAATATAATCAAAAATGATATCATTGTATACTGAGAAATATAAATGAGCTAAATTATAAATTTAAAAAAATTTAAGCTAAAAAATTAAAAATTTAAAAAGCATCAAACAAATATATTGTTTACTTTTTAGATTCATCATTGTTACATTTGGTGGAAAATGAAGTAAACATTCAGTATCGTTATGGTTCATCATTTAAACCAACTGCGGTACTTATTGTTACCTGGGAAAATACACATGAAATTACAGAACCTGTAAGAATTATTGATTTTTTCATTTCTCAATCAATTTAATTAATCCTAAATTTAATTATTTCAAAAATAATCAAATTTCTTTTTCTGTAATATTTAAAACAATCATTAAAGTATCATTGTAAATATAAAATTATTTAATTGAAAAATGTTTGTTTGCAGAATTTAGAAGGTAATTCATTTCAAGTGGCATTGATTATGAGTGATAGTGGAACATTTGCGCATATTGTTTATAGTAAACTGAACAGTAATAAGAATGCTGTGGTAAATATTTATTATATTATCTCTGAAATTTTAAATCTAATTTATTTTATCATTTTTTTATAATTCATTTAATTAAATTCATTCATTGTGTTTTTTTTTTTTTTAATCAAAATGTCAATTGGTTAAAAAAAATTGATTAAATAATACAATGAAATTATGCATGCATCGGTCTTTTCCAATTTTAATTTTCAATTTAAAGATGAATTGTTTACTTTGCTTTTTATTTACAGGCAGGTTTCAGTGGTTTAGATGGACATTATTCTTTACCTGGTTCAGGTACGCAGGATGCTATACAATTAGCTGAAAAAAGCGATATTGGTATACCGGGAGAATTCTTATTCCGGATTGATTCTGATCAAGTATTTCTTTGTGGAGCCGGATATAAGGTATTTACATTTTTTTTTTTGTTTTACATTGTAATTTGAAAAGTGTTAACTAAATTGAAAAATTATTTTGAACGTTATATGTTTTAGCTGTTATCATGACAATGATATGATAAGAGGGCATGATAATGATTTCAAAAAAAGTTTTTGAATTAATTTAAGGGAGAAGAATGCGCTGAAACTTGTGCAAAAGCGGAATGGGGCTTAGATTGCACTAGACAATGTCATTGTGATGGTGGCGCACAATGTAATGCTGAAACAGGTGCATGTCCCGGTGGCAAATGTAATCCCGGTTGGACCGGAGCACCAATTTGTGAGGATGGTTAGTTTTTTTTTTGAATTATTAAATTTTTGAAAATTTAATAATTCAAATAATTCAATAAATACTGCTCATGTTATCATGCTTAGACTAATTACTACTAAAACAGTATGAGTTACTCACCTAATATCCACTTATCATATTATCAATTACAGATGTAGATGAATGTGCAGAAGAGGATGACCTTTGCCCTCGTGAGCAACCAGATTGTGTAAATACTGCTGGGGCATACTTATGTATTTGTTATGAATATGATAACATTACTAACACATGCAAAGGTAAACAAAATTTTGAATTTTAACAAATGGCATTTTTAATGGTAATTTAATAATATATTTAACATTTAATATCAAAAAGTTAACATTGCAAATAAACATTTTAATTTTAAAAGTTACAAAATTATATTTTAAAAACTATATTTTATATTTAAAACTATATTCTTTAAGGTATGTCATCTTTCAAAAGCGAAAAAAGTGAACCAATAGCAGTAAATGTTGTATCAGTGCAACCTGTATTAGCAACTACAACATTTGCGCTCAATTCTAGGACAACAAGACATCCTAGCACGACGACAACTCAATTGTCAACACAAACCACTCTATTCAACGATTCTAAAATTATCCAATTTACGCCTCCTCCCACCAAGGTAATCTTTCCAATACTTAAATTACTTTATTTTAATGCTTTCAAAGTTAGCAAATTTTTATTTTTAAATTTTAAAATTTAACTTTTCTTACCATAGAATTTATTTACTCATAGCATTTGATAAATTCTAATGATTATGTACTAATTTTGACAATTATAGAGTGTTAGAATCATTTATTATACTATAAAAATCTGTCACAAAGCATTGTGATTTGTCGTCGATTAATTTAAATATTCATTTTGTGATCTCAATTAGATGCTCATTTTGCATCTTTTATTTCAATTATTTCATTATGGTCATTGATTGGACTGATTTTTGAGTAATTTACTGCTATTAAATTTAAAGTAGCAAAGGAAAGTAATAAAAATTTTTGGTATAATATAATCTAAATTTTAATTTAATATAAAACTAATCGTATTAGTATTATTAGATTAATTTTCAAATGCTCAAAGATGAATTTGTATATTGAAGAAGACAGCCTTGGGAATTGCATCATCAAATTGTCATTGTGATGAAAATGCGGAATGTACCGGAGGAGTGTGTAAGTGTAAATCCGGTTGGACCGGTGACGGAAAATCATGCGTAGATATTAATGAATGTTTCGGTGAATCAAACATTTGTGGTGCGCATGCGATATGTGAAAATAGCCTAGGCTCATATAGTTGTCAGTGTAATATTGGATATATATTTGATCGTAATGGAAAATGTATTGGTAAATTTTTAAATTTAAAAAAGATTAACTTTAAAATAAACTGTTTATATGGAATTATTTGATATATAATATGAGTAAATCATTTATTTACTTAATGTTTCATTTAATTAAATGTTATTAGTAATTCTAATATTTAATAATTTAATTAATTCAACCAAAGTTATTATTCAACTTTTTTTTTTGTTGAAATAATATTAAAAAAAAAAGAAAATTTCTGTTCTTTTCTTTGCACTCATACTATTTACTATCATTTTTTCTGTATATAAAAATTAAAATTAAAAAGGAACAATGAAAATATTTGTTTTTAAAGAGTATAGAGATAATTGTTGAAATTATTTTTAAATTTAATGAATTTTTTCTTTTAAATGAATATCTTATAGATTTGGATGAATGTGCGGAAGGAATAGTGGTATGCGGCGGTAGTAAGAATAGCTCCATTTGCGTAAATATTGATGGCGGTTATGAATGCCGTTGCGCACCTGGTTATGCCGGTAGTCCTGACAGTCCGCACGGATGTGTGGGTGTGTCAACATATTACCATTAAGAAAAAGAAAAAAAAAACTTTATTTGTGTAATTAGTTTAAGCAAAGGATAAAATAACAAATGCTTGCTTTAATATGATAAAAGAGAGGCGAGAGAGAGGGAAAGAGGGGTGAGACAGAGAGAGAGAGAGAGAGAGAGAGATGAGAGCAAATTGAAAATATTAATTTTTAATAATTAAATCTCCAGTGAATATATTCATTTTTAATTCACTTTTTTTCTTTTTTTCAGCATATTGAAAATATTAATTTTTAATAATTAAATGATAAAAAGTTTAGATGTGAATGAATGTCAATTATCAGACTTTTATTGTGGTGAGAAAGGAGTTTGTAAGAATTTGGTGGGTAGTTATGAATGTGAATGTGCGGATGGTTTTCAACGTGATCAGTACACGGGACAATGCGTTGACATTGATGAGTGCAAGTAAGTTATTCAAAGTTGTAAACTTTTTTGAAAAAATTCTAAATTTATTGAATGACAATTTAGTAATTTTAGCATAGCATATATATATAACTGAAGGAAAAAATAATTTTGGTTATTATTAATATTAATATAAAATAATGATATAGAATAACATAATAGTATAAAATATAATACAAAATAATAGTATTAAAATAACTTTGTGCATTACTAATATTAATATAATATAAAATGATAATAAGAATAACATAATAATATAAAATAACTTTGTGTATTATTAATGTTAATATAATATATTATAATAAAATAATAATGTAAAATAACGTTGTGTATTATTAATATTAATATAATATATTATAATAAAATAATAATATAAAATAACTTTGTGTATTATTAATATTAATATAATATATCATTATAAAATAATGTATTATTAGTAATTAATAGTATATATTATTGAATTAAAAGTATTTCAGATATGATCCATGTGACAAGGCAGCAGTATGTACTAACTTACATGGATCTTTCCAGTGTACTTGTATAGATGGATTTGTTGGTAATGGAGTAGAGTGTCACGGTATAATTATTTAATACTTTTTTTTAAAATTTATTTCCTAAATATTCAACATGCAATTAAAAAAAGTAACAATTTAATCACAGAAAAAAAGTAATTAATATTATGATTGCATTTAAGTTATCGATTAATTACATTATTGATAATCAGTATAAAATTTAAGTTTAATTGAATTCTACATAATTCACGGATGTACAAGAAAGAGAAACTAATAATTCGATCACATTTAATATTAACTTATTAAATGCGTATATATTGATGGCAGTACTTATTAGTTTTGGACAGGGCAAAAAGTTTGCAATATGGTTTCTTTAATTAGAAAATTTTTAATTTAATTAAATTAAATTTAATTTTGATGGTATTAATTACAGAAACGATTCTTTTCCCAGTTGATAAACCAACACTTGAAGTACCTGCACGAATAAATGCTGTTGCTGATTACCTGATGGTTGAACCTCTTCGACTTTTTGGTCGTACTTATCGTACTCTTTATGTAAGTAATTTACCTTATCTCAGAACTTTTATATATTTTTTGTTCAAATAGAATTAATATTATTTTAATTGATAGTATCACAAGAATTAATTTTATCATAATTATCAAAGAATATTTACTAATCAATTAAATCATACAAAGTAATCCTAACATAGCGGTATGCTTTTTATTTTGCAATTATAAATATATTTTTTAAAATAAGCAATTAATGTAATACTTTAATATTGTGGTATAAAAGTTTTGTTAAATCTTACGGAATTAATTAAGTGATAAAAATGAATGAAAAAAATGTTTTTTCTATGGTATTAATTTTATCATAATTAATTAGTAAATTAATTAAGTTAATTTTAATTAGTAATTTAAATTGTTAAATTTGATTAATTTCAGATTTCATCAAATGGTGGAATAAGTTTTGGTGAGCCATTGCCATTAAAACTTGATGGTAATGTTCGTTTTCCAGCATTTTTACCACTTTATCAACATTATACCTTCCAGGATAGCTCAAAAGTTGTTTTGAAAGTCATTGATGGTTGGTAGATTATACTTTTTACTTATTTATTCCTTAATTTAATTTAAATAATAAAACTGAAATTATCACAATTCATTTGTATGATATTAATTTTATCACAATTAATTAGTAAGTTAATTTAAATTAACTCCTCTTTGTTTCAAAAAGTTTCTTCAAAAAATGTTTTTTAATTTAAGAATTAAAAAAAAAAAAATTCAATGTAAAGAGGTAGGTGAAAAGGAAAATAAATTAAACTAAAATTCAACAAATTAAATATTTTAGACACTGATCCAAATGATTATACTCTGTTAGCTCGTTTATCCTTAAGTGTACACAATAAATTTCATCAAAAAGATTTTCGCGCACGATCATTGTTGATCATTTCATATGATCATATGTTACAAATCGATACTGATCAGGTATTTTCCTGATACCTTTGCAATCGTTTGGTAAGATAGAGAAGAATTAAGTATAAATTAAATTTTAGCAAATTTTTTTTTCATTTCTGTAAATAGTTTTCCTAAAAAAAAAAAATTATTACTATTATTAATAAATTATTATTATCATATTTAATTGTATGTATGTGTGTATGTGAGTGTGTATTTAATAAATTATTATTATCATTATTATATTTAATAAATTATTATTATCATTATTATATTTAATAAATTATTATTATCATTATTATATTTAATAAATTATTATTAGTATTATATTTAATAAATTATTATTATCATATTTAATATACGCAGACATATATGTATGAGTAGAAATATAGATAAAATTAAAGAAAAAATTAATTGCTGTGAAAAATTTTGATACATTTTCAAATTTATTATATATTTTATCAGTACACACTCACATACACATACACACACACACATACATACATACACAGACATATATGTATGTATTAAATTTAATAAAATTAAAAATAAATCAAAAATGAAAAATTATAGGAAAATTCATTTCAAGTAGTAATAGCACGAGGTGATAATGCAACATTTGCAATGTATTTATTCGAAGAAATTGAATCAGACAACGGTCTAAGTGGCTTCTCATCAGGGATTGAATTTTTTGAATTACCATTTGAAATGTTAGCTAATCGATCAAATATTAATGAGCGAGGAAAGTGGTTATTTCGAATTGATGGAATTGTACCATTACATTGTCCAGCTGGTACATTGGATCCACCACTCTGTCAGAGAGGTTCGTCTAATCATTGATTTTATATTTTTATCAAATTTTTTGATCAATTTCAATTTCTTTTAAAAAGAAAAAACAACTAAAATAATTGTCATATTGTTTACATTTATAACAGTTAATAAATTTTTTTCAATTATAATATTTTATAGTGTAATTAAGCTGAAGAAGTATTGCTAAACTATAAAAGAATATACTTATATCATTAAGTTTTAAAGTTATAATTTTTTTTATTGATCAATAATGATAAATTAATTGATAAATTATATTGAACCATTAATTAGAGTCCAAGAATACTGATAATTTATGTGATATTATCATCGCTGAACACTGTTCTAATGCTTAATGCGCAAATGGTCGTTTGACAGATATCAGTATCATTTGATAATTCCGGTTAAATTAATAACAGTATAAAAGTATCCGATTTCAGAATGTGATGCAGGTACATGGGGATTCCGGTGTGAAAATAAATGTCATTGCCGTAATGATATTCCATGTGATTTTGCTACCGGTTTTTGTTCTAATGCTCAATGCGCAGATGGTTGGACAGGTGTTAGTTGCTTTGAAGGTTAGTTTTTTTTTTTCAAATAATTATACAACAATTTTGAATTTTAAAAATTAAAAAAATTTTTCTTTTTATTTTTGTTTTTTTTTTTTTGAAACAATTTTTCATTTTTGAATTTGTTTTTACTAATTAAAAATTCATTTCTATAATTTTTACTGAGAATAATTTATCTTTAAATTTGATCATACAATATAATGAGTAATTAATTTATGGTTAAGATATAATTGTATATAAGAATACTTATAATTTGAATTATTAAATTATTTCATTTAATTATTTACTGATTAATTCTATTAGCGAATTATATAACGAATAAATATTTAAATTGTAGATATAAATGAATGTATTACGGAACGACATAATTGCTCATCAAAAGCGACATGTATCAATGAAATTGGGTCATATCACTGTAAATGCAATGAACTTTTTGTGGGTGATGGCTTCACGTGTAAACGTACGTATATCGCTGTGATATTTTCAAATTCTATCGTTAGAATATTGTACAATTTAGTATTATTTTAAATAATAGAGAATTTTCAAAGTATATTGTTGCTAATAATGCTATATATTCTTCCTAGGTATAGGTAAATTGAAAAGTTTGATTCCGTATGGGTATTTTTGTGTATATTTTTGAAACCCATACAGGTAAGTCGAGGTACTAAGTAAGCATCAAGTATAGATAAGTTGAAAAAGTTTGGTTTCTTTAGTTTTTTTTTTTTTGAAATCTGTATAGGTAAGTTGTATGTATTCTTGAATTCTGTATAAATAAATTGAGTTATAGGTAAATATCAGGTATAGTAGATAAATTGAGGTGAGGTATGGGTAAATATCAGGTATAGTAGATAAATTGAGGTATGGGTAAATATCAGGTATAGTAGATAAATTGAGGTATGGGTAAATATCAGGTATAGTAGATGAATTGAGGTATGAGTAAATATCAGGTATGGTAGATAAATTGAGAAAGTTTCAATTCTGTCAAGCAGAATTAAGTGTTAAATTTGTTACAGAAATGGATGCATGTTATTTACGATACAAGGAAAAATGTTCAGTAAATGCTGTTTGTGATGAGAAATCTCCGGAAGGACCGGAATGTGTCTGTAATGATGGTTATCACGGTGATGGCTTGAATTGTCTTAGAATTAATGTTCCAATCGGTTTGTTTTAGTATAATTTTGCTAATTTACTGCGTTACTTAATTAATTTTAATAAATTTCAAAATGTAACAAATAAATAAAAACTAATTAAAAATTTAATTCAATTTATTGTATAATTCAATTTTAAATATAAATCTTGGAATTTTTTTTGTAATTTTCGTATTAAAAAGAATTTTTTATTTATTTCCATTTTTAAAATTTTGATTTAAAAAAAAAAGAAAAAGAAACGTTTTTTTTTTTTCCAATCCAAAAAGTAAATTTATCTTTTTGAAATAGTAAATATTTTTGGATATTGACTATTTTTTGACCTTTTTTTTTTGAAATATACATTTTTTTTTCAATCTTTTAATTTTTTATTTTAATGAAAAATCATTAAAAATTTTTTTGTTTTTTTATTTAGACGAACCAATAACGCCAATCTTTGATAATGCAATTACGAACGTAGCACTTGAAATACCAAAAAGTATTGAAGTAGACAATGATATAGAGGAGACACCATTTTTGATGCATAATTGGGAGAATGAACAAGTAAATAATTAATTATTTTTTTGAAAACGTTTAGAGTAAATTTTTTCATAAAATTTTTTTCAAGTAATAATTTTGGAGCGTTTTGGAGTAATAATTGAAGAAATTTAATTTGTAAATATTTTATTAAATAATACTTTTTTTTTTTTCTCATTTTTATCAGTTAACAACTGAATCAATGATAAAAAAACATGGAAAGGAAAAAACTACGAAAATACGTACAACGACAATTCCGCCATTTGCTAAAGATTACAGTGATATCGGGAATGAACTTTATATTGGTGGTAAAACAATTGAAGAAACAGATGGTAGTAGCAGTAAGTTTCAAGTTTATTAAAATATTTTTGAAATAAATTATTTAATTTATATTATTATATTATTACTATGAACTTTTAATATAATAATCCTTTTTTTTTTAAGATGAATAATAATATTTAAATTGGATGAAATTAAGAGAATAAATGTATTTTAATAGAAAAAAACATTTAAATACATTTCAATTGATCTTTTTTTGAAAAATTGAATTATTTTTTTTTTAATTTAATTAAATGGAAAATTGAAATATAAAAAATGAAATATTATTTTAGCATTGTTTATTGTAATACCAGTAGCATTGTGTGCTTTATGGTCTATTATTATTGTTATTATTCTTGCTGTATGCTGTCGAAAAAAACGGTTCATTTTATTAATTTTTTATTAATTTTAAAATCATTGAAATTTATAATCACTGAAATATTCATTTTATTAGTTTTATAATCAATGAAATAATCATTTTATTATTTTTATAATCATTGCAATACATTTGAATTAATAATATAAAATAGCATAAAATAAATGAAATTTTTAAATTCATTTATTTTTTTTTTTCATAAATTTTACTTTTTATTTAATAATGCACTTTTTTTTTTTTTTTTTTTTTGAATTTTGATCTTCAAATTTTGAATGAAATTTTAAAAAAAAGATATAATATTAGGGTTTTCTTGAAATAAAATTTCTTAATTGAAATATATTAATTCTATAATTTTTCTTCAATGAATTGATAATTTTAAAATATATTTTTACTAATATTAGCTACTAATTTTCATTTTAGCACTATATGATAAAGCATTTTACTCGGACTTAAATAATCGTTTTATGCTTTTGAAAGAGATTAATCATTAATTTTATAAATTTATTTATTTAAATTGTTATTCAGGAAATTATCCTCACCGTTAATGATTCAGGATCCGGTAAGTATGGCCGGTTGGAGGAAGCCACCTCAAATTATAAGTACATATCCTACCCATTTTACTGCTCAATACTAGTTGTTATTTTCATCTTACTAAAATATTGTTATTTCTATTTTCACTTTTCATTTCATTATGTAATGTTTCTCTTTCTTTTTTTTTCTCTCTCTCTCTCCCCACTCTCTCTCTCTCTTTCTTTCTCTCTGTATGAGCACTTTTACGAGTTTATAACTTTTCCTTTTAAAAATCAAATGCGAAACTTTTTCAGATAAAATGAAATTTTTTTTTCCGGTTTGCCTACCGGAAATTATTGTATTATTACGTATGATCAATGTATTAATTTATTAAAAAGAATTTATAATATCATCCATTTCATACAATTATCTTTATATTTTAAAAAAAACTGATCTAAACCTGAAGCGTTCCAAACCGGTTTGGCATAATATTAATAATTTTTTATTGAATATCTTGAATCTTTCAAGAAATTCTCGCATTTAACTTTTGTAGATTACATTTTATTTTTTTATGTAAAATATTATTTTATATTTTGCTACCGGATTCGGTTCAGTTTAAATATATTATTTATCATGATTCGGTTCAGTTTAAATATATTATTTATCATGAAATTAGCAATTCTATTATGATATTATGATTTAATTAAAAAATTATGGAAAAGAATATGAATAATTAATTTTAAAATTATTGTTATTATGAATTATAAAATTTTATTATTTTCACTGTTAAATTTCAATTGTACAAATAGAAAATAAGAATTGCGCTTTATTGATAATGTATATTTGCGCCATTTCATTTTTATAACAATAATGTTAACTTCTCTAATGTCAAAATTTAATTTCACCTCAATTCTAGCAAGTAAAATAATGACGTAAACGTGATCTGACGTACGTATTCCTTTTTCACTTTTCATTCTATTCGATGTCACAGATTAAAAAATAAAAAATTTGTTTTGTACAGATGGAAATAAAAAGTTAACAGTAAATTGTAAATTGTTACTTAGCAAAACGAACAATCAGGAAAACAGTGAAATATAGCTAAGTTTAATGAATTATTCTTTGATCACCTACTTTCTCTTAGATCAGTTTCGAAGATCAACGAGAATGAGTGATTAAATAGAAGATAACTTCAGCTAAAAGAAAAAAAAAAAGTTTCTTCTTTTTAAAATTTTTTTTGAAAGTTTCTTTTCTTCTTCATTTTTATTGGAAATATGATGAATGATTTAATATTGGTACCTTAATTTGATGATAATGTCAATGTGTCAGGAAAAGATTAAAGAAAAAATTACTGATAAAATAATATCACAAAGAATTTTAGATTTATTTCTATTTGAAAAATTTTTAATAATTTTAATCAGTAAAGTGTAGGAATAATTTACAAATTAATTTTTCCAATTTATATTTTTAATTCTTTCTTTTTGGTTTTGAACAATTCATTTTTGAATATTGTCACTCTGAGATAATTTATACTTATTTACATTCATATTTATGTATGCATATTGTTTATAAAGTATTTTCAGTTTCATTTAGATAAATTTGATTCAAAATTGATTAATACAAAAGTTTAGCGACAATTAGAATTTATTCCTGTAAATTCTAAATTAAAGTAAGCCAAAATAATCAAATCTAAATTATCCAATAGCTAAATGAAATAATCAAAAGTAAATCAATTCATATTATTGTTTACTAATTTTTTAAATTATTGTTTACTAATTCTTTTTTTCTCTTTTTACTTACGCATCATTTACTTTAACTTTTCAACTTTCAGTGCAACGATATAATCTTCGAGAAAAACTGTAAGTTACTGTAATAAATTGTTTATTCAAAAAATTAGCAACAATAATAATCAAAAAAATTGAAAATGAAAAAACGGAATGGAAAATTTCATTATGGATATTCATTTGGATGATTACTAATAAATGTTTTCACATTTTCCATATAATTCCGGAAAAAGGCACACATTGATCCTTCGATAAGACGGCGCGGAATATTGCACTATAATTTATTAAATTTTTGAAAATTTTTCGAATAAAAAAATTTTTAAAACTCTTTCAATAAATTACTAAAATTTTAGGAATATTTGATTTGATATTATCATAAAATGAAATGCATAAATGAGTATAAATGATAAGAAAAAAAGACAATTGCATTGAGTTTTCTCTTTTTTTTTTGTCAAGAAATATTATTAAAATATTTTTTGTATGAAACAAAAAATATTAAATTGTCACTGTCACATTAAAATTATATATTCAAAAAAAAAAATTTTTAAATTATTAAATTTGAAATAAAAATGAAACAATGAATGAATAAACCTTAATATCACTATTTTGAATCCATTCAATATGTGACATTTTTGAATCAATGGTACTACGTGTCACGCGAACGTAATTTGCTCCGTTAATTCCACGTATAACTTTTTGATTTCCATTTATTGGTACAATTGAAGAATCCACCGATACGTATGCACCCTCGTAGATATCTTTTTCAGTATCAAGTGTCATCCGACGAACATCCAAGAAATCGCTAAAATTATCTTTTCAAATTATCGTACTCTGAAATTACTTTTCAAATTATGGTACTCTGAAATTACTTTTCAAATTATGGTACTCTGAAATTACTTTTCAAATTATGGTACTCTGAAACTACTTTTTACATTATGGTACTCTGAAATGATCTTTTGCATTTGGTACTCTGAAATTACATTATTATGGTACTTTTACCTTTTAATATTACAGTTATGAGAGAAGAAAAAAATGCTATTTTACGGAAAATATTTCGATTAAATTTTGACTATTTTATGCTATCATATTTACGGAAAATATTTCGTTTAGATTCCGGTTATTTTATGCTATCACATTTACGGAAAATATTTTGGTTAGATTTTATGAAAAGGATAATTTTTCTAACAAAATCGTTATTCGTGAGTGCATAAAAAAATTTTACAACCAATTTTTGCAAAAAAAAAAAAAAAAAAAAAGTAAAATAAGCGATCATTGAATTTAACCTATTGTTATGATTTAATGAATTAATTTAAAAGTTGTTATCATCAGTTTCTTCCGGGATAGCAGTATAGTCAAAATTGAATTTTCTGTAGTCAATCGAAAGAAAACTAAATTCCCTATCAGTGTAAAAATTTTTCGTTTAAATTTTTATAAATTTTGAAAATCAGTAGTAAACCGGAAAATGAGAGGAAAAAAAAAAAAATGCTAACCGTGGTGAAATGTATCCACGTAATATCGGAGCAGTGATAATATATATCAGTTCAGTGATTGGATCAATATGTAGTACAACCTTAGAATAACAAAAATTTTAATATTTATGAAATTTTTCTTTTTTTTTTTTTGGAAAATAAAAATAAACGCATATTTTATATGCATGAAAAATTTAATATTATAAAAATATCTGAAAATAATATAAAACACATTTTAATTTTTACTTACTTATTACTTGAATAAGTAATTAATTAAGTTTGAAATGAGATATATACTTTAAAGTCAGTAATTTGTTTGTTCCATAATTTATTATCTTTCCAAATAATTTTGAATAATGATTTTGGTGTGCATGCAACTGTATCCTGAATAAAATAAACTTGCTTCTCTTTTGAAATACGTATTTCTGGATTACTCCTGAAATTACAACCGTATTTATGAGAGAATTTAAATACACTGAGAATATAAATCAATAATTCGTCTCTTTTGAGATATTTGCCTTAATTAAAACATCTCAAACTTTTTTTGCTTCTTTTTGGTATTTCAGTAGAGAATAAATATGATAAAAACGTATAAACTAAGTTGAATTAAATGAAATTAAATTAAAATTACAAATAATTAAAGCCTTAATTCAAGTTAAACTAATCAAATTTATTTGATAAAATCAAATTAATTGAAAAATTTTTTAGGTATGATTAAATAAACTTTAACAATTTGTCTATATTTATTGTGTAAATTAATCTAATTTAGCATAAATAATACTTGGTTAACTTTTCAAAGATATAAAAAGCTATCGTAGTATGATTGATTACCTGTGTAAAAGTTTCCAGGTATTAATTTGTGTTAGCAATTCTTTAGCTTTCAATTTTGCTCCTTCCACTTCTTCAATATATTGCGCTTTTGAGTATACCTTTCCTGCTATTAATATTGCTGATAAGTTATCATCATCTGAATCTGAAATAATTTCAAAATGACATTATTTTAAAATTTTTAACAGCATTTTGATTTGAAAATGAAAACTTTGAAAAGAAAACAGAAAAGAAAAAATGAAATTAACATGAATAAACAATTAATCATATTAAATTAAATCATTTAATTTTAAATGATAAAATTTGAATAATTGATTGATCAATTGTGATCATTATGAAAAGTTAAAGATTACGAGAAATTTCATTAAGAATTAAATAAAATTTTTCATACTATAAAAAAAATTAACGAATGAGCTGTTGAACTAATTATTGATTCATTGATTAAATGTTAATTTACTATAATCAATTTTTATTATAATATATCAAATTCTCTCTTATCATCTCAATTACTTCCTTATTTTCTTATCTTAATTGTACTTTCAAAATTTTATAATTATTCAAAAGAAAATAAAAATATTTTGTAATGTTAATCACAAAAGTTACCATTTAACTGCTTTTGGAATATTCAAGAAGAACTAAAAGTGAATCAATTGCGCCAATATTGATCAATCTTTGCGCCTAATATTGTCAAAAGTTTTATATGATAATTAATTGATACACCTACCGGATGAGCATTCCATAGCTGAACGGAATTCTTCATCAGTTTGCACATTTCGTTCCGAAACTTCCGATGGAGTATTATAATTTGGCATAATCATATAACCGCGTTCACGTGGTAAAATATGAAATGGTACCAACCAAAGTTGAAACCATGCAACCACAAATGAGGAAACCAATACCATATATTGTGGTAGATTACCTTGTATTGGTGAGAAAAAGAATAGCGCCTAAACCAAAAAAAAAAGACAAAAAGTATGTCATTTTCTTTTCTTTTTTTAATGAAATAACTTAAAAAATTAACATTTAAGTAAGATTGATGTATTATAATAAAAAGATTATTTATGCAAATTTTTATAGCTTAAAATAATTTGCATAAAATTGTTAAAAATGATTTTGGAGTGAAAGATAATAATAAAAAGTTATGTATAATAATGATAAGTAACTAAATAAACAATTAATAAATAAGTAGTTAAAGAGAAAAAAAATTATAATAAAAAGTATATAAAAAACAAATAGAATTTTATAATTAAGCAAAATTTTTTATCACAATTCAATGCAAATTAAAATTTATTTGCAAATTTTATTTGCATGATTTTATTTCATTTGTATTTAAAATTATTCAAAAAATTTTTTCCAATCAAATTTTTTAACTATTTTTTTCTTATATCTATGTAATTTTCAAAAAAAAAAAAAAAAATTTTTTTTTTTTCTAATTCAATTTATTCGATCTTTTTCAAAAAATATTTCAGTAATTAATTTTAGAAAAAAAAAAAAAAATTATAAATAAATAGAAAAATCTTAACTTAACAAGAAGAAAAATTGTCGTTGCAATTGTTGTAATAGCAACTGGAAGCCAATGTCCAATTAATAGAATGGAATAGAAAAGAATGAGAATACACATACGAATAACTGCTGTGATCTGAATAATAAATTATGTGCCAAGTCATTTTGTGGCCAAGTCTATTCTCTGGCCAAGTCATCCTTTCATATATATATTTTTTTCCTATCATCAATTAAGTAATTTCAATGTTATATGAATGAGAATTATAGTAACATTTGAACAAATTTTAAATGTTTTATTTTTTTAAATGCAACAAAATTTAAATATAATTTTAACAAGAAATAAAAAAAATTATTTCAAAAAAAAAAAAAAAAAAAAAAAAAAAAGCTTACAACAACATCAAATAATGAAAGTTTCATGAAATCTGGCTGCAAAATGTCAACCTCACGAAAAAATACCACTGGCCAATCATTACCTTTGCTCACCTGTGAAAAATAAAAAAAGAGATTAATTTAAATTTCAAATAAATTAATCACCTTTTGTTTTTCAATCCTAATTATAATTTCTTTTCAATTCTTAGTTTTCTTTCATCTTTAATTTTTTTCTAATACTATTTTGCAATGCATTATTTTGTTTATTAGTTTCTTTTAAATTTAAAATGGTAAAAAATTCAATATTAAATTCAACAAATTGCCAAAATTATTATATTATTTGATCAATAAATGATAGAATTTTTTTTTTAATTACATAAATTTGTTACCATTTTTTTTTTTTTTTTTGTTGTTGTTATTATTTTAATTTAATTAATTAAAGTCGAAATAATTAATAGATAATTTTAGTAGTGAAAAAAAAAAATACTTTCATACCGTAGAAATGACCCATAGTAAAGCTGTAAGACATACATCAAATACTGTTACCACCGTAAATCGTCGACGATCCTAAAATAAAACTTAATTTTATATCAAACTTAAAAATTAAAAATCTAAAAAAAAAAAAATGAAAGAAACTGAATTAATCATTAATAAAGTTTTTAAATACAACTTTATCAATTGGTTAATATAAGCCAAATAAATTTGTTAAAAATATCAAAAGATTATAGATAGTAATTTAAAATCTCTTTCACATTTTTTGTTTTTCGAAATAAAAAAAAACAAATAATAGAAAAATTTGTTTTGTATATTAAAATCTTTATCAATATTTTAAGTTAATTAGTTAAATATAAATTTTACAAGTGTTAAAATATTAGAAGATAGAAATAAAATTATTAGAAAATATAAAGTAATAATATGAAACTAACTTTACTTATTCGTGATTCACCAGCAGATAATAGAAATTCTTCTCGATTACTCATCTTTTGATGAAATGTAATTTGATTTTCACCATTATTTCTTCCCAAATTTTTATTTTCATCTATTCCACTCATACGTTTTTCTCTTTCTCTCTCTCTCTCTCTCCAACTCTCTATCTTTCGTTCAAAATTCTTTTTTATCTAAAAAAAAAAAAAAAGTTAAAATTTTACATTTTTAATTAAATATAAACAATTATAAGAAAGAAATTCACATTTCTTCCAATGGCAAAATTAAGTAAATAATTAGAGAAAAATTAAATCAAATGTTTAATTTAATTGCATTATTAAATTCTTATTTTAACATTAATAATGCAAATGTTAATTAATTAGATTTATTTATAAAAAATTTTAAAATAATCATACATTTGTTAACTTTTTTATAAATACATTTATTTGCATGCATGCAAGCAAACATGCAAGTTTTATCATCATTTATTTGCTATGTAAATCTTAACAAATTAAATTTATGAAATAGTAATGAATGTTTTTTTTTTTTAAAAAAAAAAAATTAAAATGAAATAAACAAGATTTAAAGATTTTTGATTTAAAAAATAAATCAATTTAAAAATAATAGTAAAGAATGAAAAAAAAAAAAGGATAGTGAAGTTTCGAATGTATTCAACCACATTATCAGTATTAGAATTCTAGTGATGACACAAAAAGTTAACTTTTGTTCATTCTTCTTTCTCTCTCTCTCTCTCTCTCTCTCTCTCTTTCTCCCTCTCTCTTTCTTCCCTTTTTTATCAGATATTATCAATACTGTTCACTGATAACACTAAAAACACTCCTTTTCAAACATTCATTATTATATGCATAACAATAATTCTCATCAATTATAGCTAATAAATAATTATTATTTTTTTAAATTTTCAAAAAATTTTTTAAAATTTTTTGAGAAAAAAATATTTAAAAATTCTACATCAAATATATACATAACAGTTATATAATTTGGATAGAAATAATACAAAAATTTAAAAATACGAATGAAAATTAAGTGGGAATAATAAATTCAAATTGATTTATTTTGTTTGCTAAAATGATTAAGGTCAAAGGTTATGCTTGGTATATTCAAATAAAGTTGATCAAAATGTGATCATTGTAGTGTAAGACATAAATTTAGAATGAAAAAGCATATCATTTGTGATGACTAATAAACTAATTGATCATTATCGATTGATTGATTGATCGATTGATTAGCAGAATTGTTGATTCATAATATTTCAGTTTCTGTTTAAATTTTTATTTTTTGATCAATAAATGCGCCCATAACTGAATGAATGTAACATATTCATTTAGTAGTTACAATGTGACAACAAAAAGTTATGAATTAACTTTTTAAGCTTCAAAAGCAAATCTGCAAAATTGATTTGATCTGATCTGATCTGATCTGATCCGATCTAATCTACAGTGATATACTTAAATCCTAAGGTCATATTTTTGTTACTTATCAATCTAATTAATAAAAATTTGTTATGTTTAATTAGCTTTCCACACACTTTTTTCTCATTGATATCAAAAAGTTTTACTTTTAATAATTTATCTTAATTTTAAATGATAATATTTGAATAATTAATTGATTGACGTATAAAAAAAAATTTTCACACTTTTATTTTAATAAAATGCTTTTTTTCTTTTTTGTTAAACAAAAATTTTAAACTGTTTCCAATGAATTTAATTTAAATTTTCCAATTAATTTTTCTCTTTTTTTTTTTTTGAATTTTTCTAATTAAAAATTCTTTATAGAAAACCAATTTCAATTTAATTTTAAATTAATTTTACAAAGTTTAATTTCTTCAAAAGAAAAACATCTAACAATAATTGAAAATGAAAAAGTTACTATTTAAAATTTCCACGAATGATTTGATATTTTCACTTTTCATTTCATTATTAAATGCAAGTGATATAAAATTGTTTTACCTGGATGAAATTTCAAGATAAACTTTTTGTCTTTATTTATAATTCCTAGCAGTAACTGCTTTTTTTTTTAATTTGAAATTAAAATAAATTTTAAATTTAAGTATTACTCTATCATTTATAATTATTATCTACATGTGATCATTATAATGAAGCAAATATCACTGTTATCAGTTGTATCATAGGGTGATAAAATTGATAAGTTTAGCTTTATAAAGAATTAAAATGTTTTATTATTGTTCAAGAATTTCATTTTTCTTAGCAGTCTGAAAAAAAAAAAAAAGAAAACTTTAACAATTTTTGAAATTTTAACTGAAATTGAAAAGTTTCATAAAGTAGAAATTTAGAAGTATTTATTGAGAGAGAAAAAAAAGTGTTGGATATTAATTAAATTGCTAAATGCTAATGAAATTTTGATTTCAAGAAATGACAAATGGATATCAAAATCTTTTAGATAAACTTAATCTTTACTTCATAATAGTTTATAAATAAAAGATAAATTGATCTATTGATTATGTCATCGTTTTTTTTTTTTTTTGATTTGCTTATATCATAGAAATTTAATTCTTTCTTAAAATTATAAAATTTTTAACTTATTTACTCAAAATTAATAGTTTTATAAGCACAATTTTTTTGCTTTTGCTTTTTGCAAATTTTGTTAGCAATGAAATACTATAACATAGCATATTGAAATGTAAAACTTATGAATGATTTATATTCTGTAAATTTAATTAAATAAAATAAAAATACTCAAACAATAATAATAAAAAAATAAATAATGGTAATGGTGCATTATTTTATAATTATTTTTCATAATTATTTTCAATTTATGTGGACTATAATGTTGTTTACATCTTATCACTGTGATTTTTATCATTGAACGATGAATAATTGTTTAATTATTATGATATAATATATTTATTTGATTGATAAAATACATAGAAATAGTTAAATTTAACTGATAAAATTATAAATTCATTTTTTTTATAAATTCAAAGGTATGATCTTATTAATTTTATTCATGAAATTAATTTCCCAATGCATCAAAAGTTATTGAATAATAATAATAATAATAATAAATAAATAAATAATTATAATATTAATAACAATTAATACTGATAGTGATAACAATCATAATAATAAATAGCAGTAACTTTAATAGTATGAATAATAAATTTCACGCTATAATGGTAATATTATGATAACATTTTTGATTTGTAGAAAGTTTCTTGAAATTACGAGAAATGAAATTAAATTATTGTAATTAATAGATGAATAAAACCTAAGCTTAAATTATTAGCTATAATAGTTTGAGCTTAAATGTTTAATTTTATTTCTAATTAAAACAAAAGATTGGAAATTGCTAAGCAAACAAATTGAATTCGCTTTATAAATACACTTCAAATTTATTGATTATTCTTAGTTTTGTAAACAAAACAGTGTAAATAGAAATTATAGAACTATCTTAGAGTGTTTCATTGTTTGTACTGTAAATTTCTGAGTAATTCAAATTATAATAAAAGTATATTTAAATTATACTATTAATTATTCAATCATTTATCAATTATAAATAATCTAACCCAAAATACTGAAATAATTATTTTATTATTATAATAATATCTTAAAGTATATGAAAAACAGATTATGAATGAGATTAGCATTCAATAATTATCAAATTTGAACTAATTATCAGGAATATATCATTAAGTGGTAGTTTAATTAAAATAAACAACAATAATTGTAACAAAATATTAAATAATTTCTTCTTTTTTTTTTCATTTGATAATTATTGAGTGATAATTAATGATAACGAGATAATTGTTGATAATTAGTTCAAATTCAATGCATGATGATCTAAATAAATAAGTAAATAGAACAATTGATAAGATGATTAATTAAATTTGATAATTTATACTAATGGATAAATTAGTCATTTTATATACAAAATTATTGCTAAAAATCAAATAATACGAATTTTCAACTCATTTAACTTAAACTATTTAAGTAAAAAAAGTAAATTATATGTCAAAATCAGAAATGAAGCGATTATATATTTATTATAATTAATACTTATAATTCAATACTTCATACTTATTTTATACTTAATACTTATAATTATGGTTAATACTTATAATTGATTATGCATTATTTTATTATCATTATCTTAGTTTAAATGTATTATATAAAAAATATATTTTAACATATTAAAATGAATTTTATTTAAATCTATTTTAGTTCATTGACAAATATTTTATACACATTTATTTGTGAATTCATTTCATTTACATAGCATATGGATAAATAAACAGGTATGCAAATAAATTTGTTAACATTTCAACAATTCATTTTATACTTTAAAAAAAAAATTTGTAAATTTCTCTTCGTTTACCAATTAAATGGATGTAAATTTTTTAATTTATACATTTAAAAGTAAGCTTTGAATATATAATGGAAAGCCTTGAAAGTTTTAAAATAAATAAAAGTATTGTCAAAAATGAAGGCAATAACATAAATAAATCATTGATGTGATATGAAAAGATGAAAAATGAGAGGAAAACAAAATTTGTTATACAAAAAAAAAAAAAATTATATAATTTTTTCTTTTTGCTAGCAATGTTATTATTTATAACATAATACGGTGCATATTATTTGATTTCCGGCAATCCGAAATAATAAAGAAAAGATTAAATTAGAAATATCATTGATATTACTCATAAAAAATTCTTGATGAGAAATCAATTAAATGATATCATGGTGGTAATCGATAAATCAATCAAAAAAAAAAAATGCTTTAAATTTAAAATTTTATTAGTTTCTCTAATTTCAACTTATCATTGGGTATATATCACCTTCCGTTAAAATTTGCCATAATCATTATCACTTATCACACATAAATATTTCCATTTATTCATTCTAATTTTTAAAATAATATAAAGTTTTATCGGAATTTATCGAAATTTTTCTTTCAAATTAAATTCAAATTAAATAATTGGTTAAATATGATTCAAATCAAAAAAGAAAAAACTGAGAGTAAAAATTTATTATCTTTTATCAATCTTTTATCATATATTAAATTGTCAATATTGAGA